ACCCCCCACACACCACGCCCACACCCACACCCACACCCACACCCACCCCCACACCCACACCCACACCCACACCCACACCCACACCCACACCCACACCCTTTATGAATCGAACATACTTCTAGTCGATGCATTTCGTCATTTTCAATATCCTCATCTGTTTAATTTGAGCCATCTTTTCGATCGTCTATTCGACTATCCAGCCACTGTTCAAAATCTTTTTGCTGCCTATGGTCTCTATTCTCTCTTACGCCTTCGATTTCGCACTCATCTGTGCATTCACGACCTCGAGTTAATCTTAGGCATCTTACTTTTGATAGTTTTAATAATACTAGACAAAAACCAGCTTCTTTGTTCGGTTTCTTTTTTATTCTTCCTTGGAAATATGCAACGAACGACTACATTCAGATTTTGTGGAAGGCGGACATATCTTCAAACGTACACAACTCAGGTGCACCGATAGGGAGAAGCGAAAACTGTCTGCTCTCGACAAGCATGTTGTGGATCTTCTCCTCCGTCACAGCAAGCAGAGCGCGAGCATTCGATTCGTTGATTGGCAGTATCCGGTAAGCCAGAGTAATGTGAAACTCATGGTTCTTGGAATAAGGACATCCTGTGGGAGGAAGACAGATGAAGTGAAGAGTGTTATCAATAATAGTAGTCAGTGCAATGACACTCACCTAAGCATGTGTACATGAGGTCTCGCCATGCTGCGATGGCTTCAGCTGTCTTTACCTCATAGGGCCGCAGCCAAACTGATAAGTTGTTGCGAAGCAACACGCCTTCCATCTTCATGTAGAATATATTCGAGGCTGCCATGGCCATCACCTCTTTGCTCTTCTGCCGCAACTCCTCTCCAATTTGTCTCATGTCGCCTTCAATCTCTGGACAGACGGTCAGCTTGTTTCTTGAGGTCACTAGGTTCGCCAAGGTCATGTGAAAGCTGTCAGGCGGAAGGAAGGAAAAGCATCCACCCACTGTTGATCCTGTCGCCTTCAGTATTTCCTGGGCTCGCATCAGCGCCCTAGCAACTAAGGCTCCATGGCTTGTCTCATTGACCCTGCAGATGCAGCTCACCCCATGGAAGGGCCTCATTGTTTTATCGTCATTAAACTTGTCTGGAAAGCTGTTGAGCCCTAACCCAGATGTATGATGGTGGGAGAGGTAGAGATGCAGCGGTTCTTTCCAATTTGCCAGACCGATAAACAGTCGACACTTCGTCTCCTCGAAGCATCCACACCAATCTGGCACGACAAGGAGCGTCGAGTCGCTTCCTGGCTGGCTGCCTAATCCAAAGGCAGCGACCTTTATGTTCGCATCGTAGGAAAACCAGAAGGTTACTTGCTTTCTCTTCTCAGTCGTAAGCAGCGCTCGCTGCTCCTTCGTCTCGGCCAAGACCACACCTGGATTACCTTCGCGCACTGTTGTTCTACTGTTTCCATCTTGTCCAACCACAAAGCAGAGCACTGGCTTTCCTGTGCCTCTAGATGGTGTGGGTTCGGTGTTGAAGATCACTCTGAACTCACTTTCAGTTGTGAGGGACACCACAACAACAGCATGTGTTGTGCCTAATGACTCTGGGAGATAGGTCTCGCATCCTTGCATCGGAACGGAAGCAGAAAAACTGAAACCAGTGCCACTCTTTTGCCATGATAGTGTGTCGTCGTTCTCCTGCATTGGGTGAAGACGGGTGTGTTTTAATCTAGAAAAAGGAACTGGATATTTATCATTTTAACAAATTCCTTGACACCAGCAACAAGGTGTGATAAAAAACTTCGACGCAAGAGGGAGGGGACAGCTTTTGAAGATTCAGCGTCACGGGAATACGTTGGGAATCCTGGAAATACGATAGGAATCCTAAGAGTACTATGAGATTTCCCAGGACAATGATTACAGTGAGTGAGACAACAAAAAACGATAGTGTATACTGTCGTTTTATTTAAATGTGCTTTATTTTAAAATGTTTATATAAATTGTTCGGTATTGGATGCACATAAAATCATGATTTTTAGGTTATAGCAGAAGATTTAATCAATCGTTGTTGTGACACACCATAGGGAAATTATTGAACCAAATTAAAATGTTCTTTCACTCCTCGTCATCTTGCTGGTTATGATGACTTCTACTTGTTTCATTTTGAACTTGTTGGAAGTCATTTTTTTTGTTTGTGTCTTTGCTTGACTGCTTTCTTATGCTGTTTGTTTCAATTGCTTCTTGGGTATTGTTTATTATCACCAACAGTCGCAGCTTCTAGTCGGATATAGCTCAAATTGTTAGCAGAGAATACTTTCTCGAGCACTTGACGCATCTGAGCATCTAAAACTGCAAAAAATATTCGTTTGAAGAAGTTTTCAAACTTTTCTGATTCTAGATGCTCTCGAAAGGTAATGGCAACATATAATGAATTGTTTTTGAGTATACCACAACCAACTGCTCCTAACACAAAATTCTCATGTTTGTTCGTTTCGAAAACCTACAATAAACGTTTAATACGTTCCACCATTGTATTTCTAATTGCATCCGCATCTTGGATGATACTAGCCTTAGGCGCAGGAACTGTTACAATACTAGGATGATGATACGGAGTAGATAATAATTTTCCATAATCATCTTGGAAAAGAAAAGCAGAAAGTTCAAAAGAATCAATCTCAATAATTCGATTTCTCATACCTTAAAAATTGTTAGCTCTTGGCGAATAAATCATACGATGACTATAGAAGCCTTTTTTTACCACGTCGATTATAATCATAATATTCATTGAATATCCAAGCTTGAGTAAGCGCTAAATAAAGTGGCGAAGATCTTGCGATTGACTCTTCTTGTGCGTTGGCACCCCTAAGGAAGCTTCCTCTTGGGTCTGGGTAGGTGTGAGTGTGCGTGTGGGTGTGTGGCAGTAGCTGTGGGATAAGTGTGGGTGTGAATCCGTTTTTCACTCATATCCACACGCAAGTTGTTTAGGACAAAACAAGATCTTAGCACGAAAACTGACCGACAAAAACATAAAAGACATATGGTCTCATTCTTTATTATGGATCCGTTTGTTTAAATTACTTGTCGAACATGTTGGAGAAAAAGAGAAATATTTTGCGTTTTTTACATCGAGCATCAATCGAGACAATGTAAAATTGCGATAAGAAAGAATGACTGATAAAAGACTAAATAAAAGCTCTATCGTTATGTAGCAATGCAAAAAACATGTGTCGGCAAGTTTACTCTTTTAAAGTTGTGTTATTACTTGAATATTACGAAAAAATGCCAATTCTTGAAGAATTACAGACACATAACTTTTCATTGGTCGATATTGTAGCATACCACAATGACGACGCCTAACATATATTACACAGTGTGAAATATATAGCATAATTATCGTTTTTTTAAAAAAGAATAGGAGTGGGTAGAATGCTTATAACTTTTTAACGGAAACAGCTTAAGAGCTGGCGTTTTCACCATTCGACAGAGAACGGTAGAGGACACAAATGTATGAAAACAATTTGATTGGTCAACAATTAACCAATCGGATGAATTATCTTGTGATATTATGAGATTGATAAAACGATACTTTCTTCTAGTCGATTTCAGAGTCCAAAGTGATTATATGATATAACAAATTGTTCTCTTTCGGTCTGCACAAAGCCGACCTTGCTAGCTCGTTCCATCCAGAAGTTATGAACATTTTTTAGAGATTCCAGAAATCGACCTAGTGACCTCCGATCGCTCTGGAACTGACGGAAATATGGGTACTCGGTCACGCTCAATCGATTGGTGATGTTTCTTTTCAGTTTCAAAACGATCTGAGGTCAAAAACTCAACATTTTGCAGATGAGGATTCCATAGATGTCACAATACTCATACACTGGGTATCGAGAGTTTAACGTTAAAATACCCCAAGAATATCCAAGAACAAGCCACACGTTACAAATTAGTAATATTCCTTCTCCTTTGGTGTAATACCCTTTGGGTATCGTATTTAATATAACTATATCTGAAATTTTGAGGAATTTGAGTGATAAAATGCACTCAAATTCCTCAATATTTTAGATATAGTTCTATCAAGCACGATACCCAAAGGGTAATACACTAGAAGAAAAATCGGTTTGAACTTCTTGAGTGGATACTCTCAGAGGGATGATTAGAAATAGTAGTTACCAGGTGTAAGGGTATTATGACATCACTCTTAAATTGTTGTTGTATGTTTTGAATATTATTATTTTTCTTATCTAGTGAAGTTTGTTTTTGTTATGCTGACCCAACAATCCACCATCGTTCTTGTTCTTTAACATTTAGAAAATCTTGTAAACCAACATTAAGTATATTAGTTTTGTCTAGTGTTTTATCTTTAACTAAATTTCGATAAATTTTTCTTAAACGATCAATACGTTCAGGTTGAAAACACCTGATAATTCTCTAACATCATTATTTTTTAAACTTTTTATTGTATCCGTCATAAATTCAAGACATTTTGATGATGATATTAATAATGTTGATGATGAGCATTTTGTTCGTAATTCTTGTAAAAATGTTTTTAATTGTAATGGATCATCTCTATGTATTACAAATCCAATTGCTTTTAATAATAAAAGTATTAATTCAAGACGTTTTTCATTTAATTGATCAATATTTAATAAATATCGAGCTATATCAAATATTATTTTTCCATTTGTCATATAAAATGCATATATATATGAAATAAATATAAATAAATTGTCATTTATTTTATTTGATACTTCATCATTAATATGTTGAATAAATATTTGTAAGAAATTTTCAAGTAAATATGATTCAACTTCTAAACCGTTATTGGCATGAAGAAGGCAAGCAAATAATGCATGTTAAGCAAGTAAACTTTGATCAGTTGATGAAAGAGATGATAGAAGACTATCATGACATAATTGATATAAACATGAATTCATTGTTGAACGAGATTGAGAACGATAAATACTTTCGATTTCAATTGATATTGATGATGAATTTTTTTTATTTAAACGATTTAATTGACTTTGAAGACAAAGTTTTAATTCAATCATTGAATTATTATCGGATGATGTTTGTTTTTGACGAAGAGCTGGAGAAATATAAACTGTATCTGAAAGAAATTTATGCGAAGTTAAATAAAAATATTATTTGTTGGAAAGAAAGAATGGACTTGTTTCTATTGCAAATGAAAGCAGGTAGCGATCTCCAGTTTTTAATATTCGAATGAGGGTGTGGGTGTGGGTGTGGGTCTAGGTATGGGAGTGGATATATGAGAGTGCAGGTCCAACCACGGTGATACCAACCGTCGCACCCAAACCTCACACCCACGCCCACCACCACTCTTACCCCACCCACACCCATCCACACCCTATTGAAAATTACTCAGAAATTTGGAAATTTACCGAAATTGTTGTGTAGTTTCTAAAATTTCCAAAATTGCAGATGGTAGGATCTTCTGCTTGTAATATGAATAGTTAGACATGTTCATATAATATCTCTGGAAGAATTTGTATATTTAGTAAAATTTTCTAGAAAGTGTTGTATTTTCGAACAAATGATTTCGATTGCTGTAATGGTAGTTTTCGAATTTTCCTGCTAGTATGGTTTTTCTGTAGAAGTTGTTTCTGAAATTAGATTATTAATGACAGAAATTTACTCTTTTGGAAGTCTCAATATTGCTGTCTTTATAGGAACGCTGAAATTGATATTTTCACAATACTCATGAAAAAAAAGTTGTATGAAAATGCGTTCCAACGCAAACTTTTAGGAAAAAAACGCTATTTTTGCGTTTCAACGCATCCTTTTTTAAGTTCAACGCGTTTAAACACATCGATTTTTATTTCTAACGCGTTTAAATGCATCTTTTATATTTTGAACGTGTTTTTTCAAATTAAAACGCAACTTAAAAACATTGTTTGAATGCATTTAGTTTTATGCGTTT